CATACTCTACCGCCTTCCATTTATTAAATATGCATGGTACTGAAACCTGAAAATGCACTGTTGCCTCGTGCTCAAACCCCGTTTCCGGAGTGTGTTCGAACTTCGAACTTAGACATCCATTTAAGAGTTGCACTGTCCGGCAGGGGGAGCAGGGGGGGAGGGGGGGGCGGGGGGGAGGGGGGGGAGGGGGGGGGGAGGTGGGGGGGGGGGAAGGGGGGGGGGGGCGGGGGGCGGGGGTGGGCGAGAGCGGGGGGGGGGGGGGGGCAGAGCGGGGGGGAGTCGGGTTTGGGGTGCAGTGTCTAGTGCACAATGCTGCTGCCTAACTCTTTCTGGATCATTCCTCGCAACATCGTTTCCGCTCGTGGTCTTGTGGCTGTTGGCACGCCCAATTAAACAGAATATACTTTGAAACGGGGCTTAGGGTTTACGGTTTAGGTTTTAGGGTTTAGGGTTTATGGTTTTCAGATTGGGGCCCACATCACCTCCATGTACTCTCTCAAGTGATATTGTGCCTACTGTCTTTGACCCCATCGCACACCCTCCTAACCCTAAGCCCTAAACCCTAAACCCGCTCAACACTGGGCAGCCATTAAGGAACTCAAGTAAAGTTCTTGATCTTGGAGGTAGAAAGCACACTTTCAAGCACGTTGAGTCCCTTAGGGGTAATGCAGGGGCTATATACTTAGGCGTGCGGGAACTTTATAAGGAAAATTGTGGGTCTACGAAATTAGGGGTACCTTATCGGGGTGCTATAAGGGGACTCCTTATAATCCCTCAAATCAAGGCTTGCCCCGGCTAACTTTAAATTTGCTAATCCCAACCCTAGACTTGTGTAGGGTTTAGGGTTTAGGGTTTAGGGTTTTGGGTTTAGGGTTTAGGGTTCCAGGTTGAGGATCATCAAAAGTAGCAGAAAAAGAGCCACACAGAGCCAAGAGCGATTCTTTGATCCTGCCAAGACATGAAAGAAACGAGGTTGGCCCTTAAAGCTGAAAGATGTTCGAAAACATAACCCTCTTAAACACCCTAAACTCTGAACCCCAAACCCTAAACCCTCTACCCTAAAAAGACGCAAACATCACCCTCTTAAACCCATCCAAATTCAAAGTGAACCCTAAACCCTAAACCCTAAACCCTAAACCCTAAACCCTAAACCCTAAACCCTGAACCCCCTTAAAGTATCCCAAGGGAACCCAGAGGGCCTCGGCATTCACGAAGCTGTTTGGCATGTATCGGAGTGACACGCCTTTTAGGCGATCTTCCTGACAGGAATGAGGGCGTAGGGTTTAGGGTTTAGGGTTTAGGGTTTAGGGTTTAGGGTTTAGGGTTTAGGGTTTAGGGTTTAAGGTCTTGGGTTTAGGGTGTAGGGTTTCGGGCGCAGGGTTGTGGATTTGGGGTTAGGGTTGTGGGTCTAGGGACTACTTAGAAGCTCTTTTGACTGAGTAAGTCTACTTGGTGTCCCTACTTCCTCAGTCAAAAGGGCTTCCAAGTAGGGCCCTAAAGTAAACCCTAAACCCTAAACCCTAAACCCTAAACCCTAAACTCTGGGCCATAGCCGTGAGATTTTGGGAGGAGATCCCTGAGGCGAAGGCGTATGTTTCCACTCAAGCCCTTGTGTTAGATGTTCGGATTAGGGTTGAGGGTTTAGGTTTAGGGTTTCGGGTTTACAGTTTAGGCTGCAGGTCTGGAGGAGGAGGAGGAGGAGGAGACTGAGCCGAGTTCCACCCGTTTGTCAAGGATCCTTACCCAAACAAGTGAAGAAGGGGCACCCTCGACAAACTTCACCGTTTGTCCAGGAAGTGTCTGACCCGATCCACACCTGATAGGCCCTCAAGAACTGTATAACGGACGGGTTTCGGGTTTCGGGTTTAGGGTTTAGGGTATAGGGTTTAGGGTTTAGGGTTTAGGGTTTAGGGTTACGTACCCTGGGCAAGCCTTGAAAGGTGACGACCTGGACCGAAATCGACAAGATACTGTCTCAAGCCCTACAAACCCTGTAAACCTAATACACCCTATAAACCCTATAAACCCTAAGATCCCTATAACCCCCATAAACCCTAAACCCTAAACCCTAAACCCTAAACCCTAAGCCCCAAATAACTCCTATAAACCCCTGGCTGCTTGTTGACAGGCAGCCCCTCTGAGACGCGGGGTCGGCCCCCGCGCAGGCTTTAGGGTTCAGGGTTCACGGTTCAGGGTTCAAGGTTCAGGGTTTAGGGTTTAGGGTTTAGGGTCTAGAGGCAGAGGCGGATGCGAAAGCTAGGGGACCTGGAGGCAAAGAGAGGGAGTGAGTCGTGGTCTGAAGAGTCTGCTTCGGGCCGGCGTCTCTCAACTCTTCCGCAAAAAACACCGACGAGAAACCCTAAACCCTAAACCCTAAACCCTAAACCCTAAACCCTAAACCCTAAACCCCAAACCCTAAACCCTAGTAAGGCTTTATGGTTTCAAGGCTTGGGTGCAAAAGCTGCGCGGCCTCACCAGCCAACTTTGCCTGTTCCTCCATGGCCAAAAAGAGGCCCTGGCCTGGGTCTTGTCAGGCTCTTCGGGGTTTAGGGTTTAGGGTTTAGGGTTTGGGGTTTGGGGTTTGGGGTTTAGGGTTAGGGGTTTAGGGTTTAGGGTTTAGGGTTTAGGGTTTAGGGTTTAGGGTTTAGGGTGAAGGGTTTAGGGTTTAGGGTTTAGGGTTTAGGGTTTAGGGTTTAGGGTTTAGGGTTTAGGGTTTAGGGTTTAGGGTTTAGGGTTTAGTGTTTAGGGTTTGAGGTTTGAGGGCTTCGGTTTTAGGGCAAGCCCCACTCTATCATGATGTCTTGGAGCTTCGCCTTTGAAGGGGCTGAGCTGAACAGCATCATGGGCCCCTAAACCCGAAACCCTAAACGCTAAACCCTAAACCCTAAACCCTAAACCCTAAACCCTAAACCCTAAACCCTAAACCCTAAACCCTAAACCCTAAACCCTAAACCCTAAACCCTAAACCCTAAACCCTAAACCCTAAACCCTAAACCCTAAACCCTAACCATAAACCTTGAAACGTCAGTTCTTTCGCGCGCAGGATTTGCACTGTAGGGGGCTCTGGGTTCGGTGTGACTGCAGTACCAGAAATCGAGGCTTGCGGCTTACAGGGTTTAGGGTTTAGGGTTTAGGGTTTAGGGTTTAGGGTTTAGGGCTTAGGGTTTAGGGTTTCGGGTTTAGAGCTTAGGGCTTAGGGCTTAGTGCTTAAGGCTTAAGGCGTAGCGCTTCTTCGGGCTCAGGTTTTAGGGTGCATGTAGGGTTTAGGGTTTACGGTTTCAAGCGAGCCCTGTACCAGCTTGTATTGGTCGAGGTTGCAAGCCGTGGACAGACACACCCCAGCCGAAACCGCAATTCAACTCTACATTAGACCCTGAAACCTAAACCCCCCAGGAAGACCCGAAGCCCTAACTCGACCCGAATCCATAAATCCTAATTTAGAGTTTAGGGTTATGCAAAGCCAAAATTGAGTTTAGCAGTTTGGGCTTCAAGGCTCTAAGGGTTGGCACAAGGGTTTAGGGTTTAGGGCAAGGGTTTAGGGTGCAGGCTTTGGGGCGTTGGGACTCGGAGGGCCCCAGAAACCTAAATAGCCAACAACCCTACAACCACAGAACCCTGAAGGCCAACCCTAAACCCGAAACTCAAAAAACCCAAGGTCCCCCAGAAATTCCTGAATAGTAAGGGTGTCCTTCTTTCTTACTCTCCAATTTTTAATAAGGGTTTAGGGTTTAGGGTTTAGGGTTTAGGGTTTAGGGTTTAGGGTTTAGGGTTTAGGGTTTAGGGTTTAGGGTTTAGGGTTTAGGGTTTAGGGTTTAGGGTTTAGGGTTTAGGGTCTCCGATTTTTAATAAGGGTACTGCTGGGGGACATAGAACTCGAGGGACTCAGGCAGGAACCGGTACAAGGGGCCTTAGGGGTTCTTTGGGGGTTATTTAGGGGCTTCTTAGGTATGTAGGGAAGGGACAAAATAACTTGGCTGTCTCCTGAACCCCTCCTAAAGTTTAACTTTTAGGCTCCTTCTTGTCGTTTCTGCAAAAACCCAAAAGGTTAAAGCAGCCAGAAGACCAGATAAGGTATATATATATATACACACATATATATATATATAAGGGCTGTATAGGGACCCTAAACCCTAAACCCTGAACCCTAAACCCTAAACCCTGAACCCTAAAGTCCCTCCTTCTACCCCTTAAAGAACCCTAAAAGTCTAAACCCTAAAACAAAGCCAGTTCCTGAAGTCCACGACTCTGAAGGGTTTAGGGTTTAGGGTTTAGGGTTGAGGGTTTAGGGTTTAGGGTTTAGGGTTTAGGGTTTAGGGTTTAGGGTTTAGGGTTTAGGGTTTAGGGTTTAGGGTTTAGGGTTTCCGGTTTCGGGTTTAGGGTTTAGGGTTTCGGGTTTAGGGTTTGGGGTGCCTACACCCCAAACCCCCACACTCAAAACACAAAATCCCAAACTCCCCCACCCCCATCCCCCAAGAAAGAGAGCCCCCCAAGGTCCGAGCCGTATGGCTCCAGTGCGTAGATGCACACGGCAAGCGGGACCTCTCAGTTTAGGGTTTAGGGTTTAGGCTTTAGGTCTAGGGTCTAGGGCTTAGAGTTTAGGGCTTAGGGCTGGGTTTAGGGTTTAGGGTTTAGGGTTTAGGGTTTAGGGTTTAGGGTTTAGGGTTTAGGGTTTAGGGTTTAGGGTTTAGGGTTTAGGGTTTAGGGTTTAGGGTTTAGGGTTTAGGGTTTAGGGTTTAGGGTTTAGGGTTTATGGTTTAGGGGTTTAGGGTTTAGGGTTTAGGGTTTAGGGTTTAGGGTTTAGGGTTTAGGGTTTAGGGTTTAGGGTTTAGGGTTTAGGGTTTAGGGTTTAGGGTTTAGGGTTTAGGGTTTAGGGTTTAGGGTTTAGGGTTTAGGGTGTAGGGTTCAAGCGGGACCTCTTGTTGAAGCGGGGCTTGTAGGCTTTATAGGGTGAGTTTCATGGGGCTTTGGGTGTAGAATGGAATCATACTCTTACGATTACTACTGTTGCTGCCACTTTACTAGCACTTTACTACGAACATTACTACTATTTACCACGATTACTACTACTATTTTACTACTGCTATTTCTACAACTATTCTTGTCAGTATTGCAAAGGTACTTTTATTTTGTACTCTTCCATAGGCTCATGCTGGGTTTAGGGTTTAGAGTTTAGGATTGCTGTACTTATAACTGTACTTATAACCACAAAAGGGCACTTAAGGGGCTTATAAGTGGTAATAAGTACAGCTACGCTAGTAAGTCAGGGCTCTTTGAAAACCCTAAGCCCTAAACCCTCAACCCTAAGCCCGGAGCCCAGAGCCCTAAACCCTAAGCTCTTTAAACTTCTCAGGAATGAGGCATCGGTGGCACAAGCCCCACCCCTTAACCCTGAAGCCTGAACCCTAACGCCCTAAACCCTAAACCCTAAACCCTAAACCCTAAACCCTAAACCTAAACCCTAAACCCTAAACCCTAAACCCTAAACCTAAACCCTGAACCCTGAACCCAACCCGGAGGTGACGTCCCAACCCTGGGGCCCTTTAATTCGTTGAATACCATGTGCTGCGTTGCTATTTTATTAATGGCTAGGGCCTAGGGCAAACACCTTGCATAATAATGCTAATCAGGATGAACTAAAAAAACCCTAAACCCTAAACCCTAAACCCTAAACCCTAAACCCTAAACCCTGAACCCTAAACCCTTCAAAGGTTATGCCTTTCATGGTTAAGAGCCAGTTACGGCCCTGATCCTGGGCTTGGGGGGAGCTTTGGGGGTTTAGACCTTCGGGCTTCGGGCTGCAAGAGCTTAACACTCCAAACTAAACCCGAACCCTAACCCCTAAACCCTGAACCCTCCACCCTAAACCCTAAACCCTAACAGCCCAGACGACACCAAGGAATTCGTGAAACACAAACAAACCAGCACAACCCTTATAACCCCATACCCTCAACCCAAAACACTACGCCTCCCCGAAACCACTCCAAGGCCTAGAACCCTAAACCCTCATGCCTAAACCCTCATGCCTAAGCCCTAAACCCCAAGCCCTAAGCCCTGAGCCCTACACCCTAAGCCCTAAGCCCTCAATCCTAAACCCTAAACCCTAAACCCTAAACCCTAAACCCTAAACCCTAAACCTAAACCCTAAACCCTAAACCCTAAACCCGGGGGTGGCCTGGAAGTTCACGATCCAGTTCCAGAAAGCCTGGCCCTGGATGGAGTCTGGCGGCACCGTGCGCAGGAAGTAGGGGTAGGTGTCCTGGCTCTGAATAGGGTTTAGGGTTTAGGGTTTAGGGTTTAGGGTTTAGGGTTTAGGGTTTAGGGTTTAGGGTTTAGGGTTTAGGGTTTAGGGTTTAGGGTTTAGGGTTTAGGGTTTAGGGCTTAGGGTGGTTGAGGGTTTATGCTTAGGGCTTGAAGTGGTTTAGGGTTTAGGGCTTAGGGGCTTAGGGCCAGGGTGGTTTAGGGTTTATGGCTTGGGGTTTCGAGGGCGTGGCTGTGTGGAGTCGAGGCTCCGCAAGTGCCGCAAGTGCAAGGTTGGGGGCATGCTGGCACTTAACCCTAAACTCTAAACCCTAAACCCAAAACCCTGAATGATACCTAAAGATTTTGATGGAAAGGCAACTCTAACAGAATGATGGTCTCTCAATCCTGGACCCAAGAGCAACCTAGGCATAAAAAGGGTGCCCTATTAAAGGAGTCATGGAGCCTAAACCCTAAGGAAGGTAATAAGAAGAGCCTACCCTTGCGTCCTAGTATCTATCCCGTTCTCCTTTTTTCGAGCTCATTTTGGGCTTCCTTCCTCTCACATCCAGATACGGGGGAGGGGGGGAGGGGGGGGGGAGGGGGGCGCATGTTGATTTCGTAGTACTTTGCATACAGTACCTGAATGGATATTGGTGGCATCTCTTATTCCACTATGCTGTTAGTCCTCAACCCTAAACGGCAAAAGTTTGAAAGGTTAAGGTTGAGGGCTTAGAATTTAGGGCATTCGTTATATTATCAGGTTTGGGGCTTCGGGGTACGTTATAATTCGGCTACCTACAGCTAGTGTGGCAAGGGGGCCCCTACTTGTTGCCCTATACCCCAAACCCTAAGCGCTAAACCCTAAACCCCAAACCCTAAACTCTAAACCCTAAACCCTAAACCCTAAACCCTAAACCCTAAACCCTAAACCGCAGGCGCCTTGTTCGACAAGGCAGGGCTCGTAGCACCGTAGGCGACCTGCGGAACTTTCCTGCGCTCGAGTTCCAGGTTCCCCCGGCGGGGTTTAGGGTTTAGGGTTTAGGGCTTAGGGCTTAGGGCTTAGGGTTGAGGGGTTAGGGGTTAGGGTTTAGGGTTTAGGGATTGGGGTTTTGTGCAATGGGTTGTGTGAGGGAGCCTCACCCGACAACGTGTGGATGAAGGTACTAGTCGGGAGTCCGAGGGTGTGTGCCTCTTGATTCCTAGATGGGCCTATACTAACAGTCCTTAATAGGTATTATAATGGGGGTACTATAATGCCTA